TCCTTACACAGAATTTTTACCTTCATTTAAGACGTAACCTATGAAGATTCTTTGCTTTGTTTTTTTTTTTTAAATGAAGATCAATAATGTTAATATTTTAACATCTCATTTATGCCATTCTGGCAACTATCTTTATATACCTATTAGATTTTACTCAATACCTATTAATCTTCATAATAGAAAATAAAGTTCCATGGGATCTCTCAATGAAAGGGTTTATTCTGAGCATTAGTTGATTATTGCAAACATCAGTCAAATTTTTGCTTATCAAGGAAGCATAGAAAGCTCTTGGTTGTTGATTCAAAGATGGCGTTCTTCTCTACTCACTACATTATTCAAGACATCAATATTCTCATTAAGAAAGTGCTTTCTAATGGTTTGTGTGTATAAGTTTTACCTTTTATAATGTACTTGGGAATTCAGATATTTTTAATAAACATTGAGAAGCTTTGAAAGGGTAGAGAACTTTTTTTTTTTTTTCAGTAAAGCAATAACTTAGGGGATTTGGGACATTGTGCGCTAAAATCTCTCCCCACAAGCCTAATTCAGATCAGAAGCCACTGAAAGTCACTCTCAGCAGATTGGTGCTGCTTCTATGGAGTGACTAAACCTGTACATCTGTTCCTATTATGAACGTCTTAGCAGAGGGTCACACCTATTATATATTTTTTGGTCATTATGAAAAGGTGCTGAAAAGAGTTTGATATTGAGAAGAAATATAGAATGGATGTGTTTTATTCTTGGTATGAGGACAGAGTTGTATGCTCACACCAGCATGAAGATCAACCCAACACATGCCATCAGGCTATGGAAGAGCAATGCCAACTGCTGGGTGGAGATTTGGTTTCTGTTTGTCTGGTTTTTATGCTTTACCCTGTTTTGTTAGGAGTTGGCCTCCATTTTTACATTCTTTTTTGTACCCTTCCTGCTTTCTTTTAGATTAATTGAATATTTATTATTTCATGTTTCCCTTATATTAACTTATTAATTATACATTCTTTCACTATCCTTGCAGTTTCATTAGAGAATAAATATGCATCCTTGATTTATTGCATGTTAACAGATTTTATTTCTTTTTACCATTTTCCTAATACTGTTAGAACCTTAGAACCTCTAAACCCCATGTAACCCTTCCTGGCTTTTGTAATTATTGTTGGCATCCATTCTTGTTTTACATAAAATTTAAAGTCTATAAGACATTTCAAACATACGATTTATATTTACCCATGCATTTAATTCCAATGTCCTTAATTCTCTCTTAAATTTCCATTTTTGCATCTGGGATCATTTTCTTTCACCTTAAAAAAAGTACACACAAGACTTTTGATGGCAAATTTCCTGTTTTATTTGTCCAAAAATATTTTTATTTTACTTTTATTTTTGAGGGGTATTTTTTGAGTATAGAATTCTAGGTTGAATTACTTTCTTCTGGCTTTCAATTTTGCTGTTTACAAGCCAGCTTTCACTCTCATTGTCATCCCTTTGATGGTAATGTGTCTTTTTCCACTAGGTTTTTAAAGCTTTTGTTTTTTGTTTTTGGCCTTTGGCATTTTTAATACAGTCTGTCTTTTGTTTTTGTATTGTTGGTGATAGTGTGTGCTTATCTTTTGTGCGGTTTGCTGAGCTTCTTAAATGTGTGCATTGATTCTGTTCACAAGTTTTGGAAACATGTCTTTGAAGATTGTTTTGCCACATTCTTTATATCTCTTCTACTTCTGGTACTCTTTTTATATTTATGCCTGTTCTGCTATTTTTTCTATTTGTCCATCTTTTTCTCTATTCTCTTAAACATTTAATTATAGGTATTTTAAAGTTTTTATCTGCTCTCAACCTGGATCATCTGTGAATCTGTTTTTATCTTTTGATCTTTGGTAAATTTCCTTGTATCTTCACATGTGTAGTAGTTCAGATTGTACAGTCAGCATTGTGTGTACACAAATTGTAGATGCTATAGTGATGTTTTCTACCTAAAGGCTTCCACCATCCTCCGTTAGGAAGCAAAGGCAAAGGTGATCACCTTAATCCAATCACAAATTGAGCTGTGTGGAGAACCAGTATACCTCTGGTTCTCCTCTAATCCTCAGGCTGCACCCTCCTGAGCTTTGATTGAGAACCTGTCAGGCCTTTGTTCCTTAGCACTGAAACATTACAGCAGCTCCTGCTCTGCATTTCGGAGTCCCTGGCCCTACTTTCCAGCCATGTGCCCTACTCAGGCTTAAAGCCTGCAAGTCTTGAAGATGAGACTAGTCGGGTGCTTGAAGCTATCATCTCCCCTATTTTTTTGTTTCTGAAGCATCTCTATCATGGTAGAAGATTTCGTTCTAATTTTTATAAGTTTTTAGCCCAAGGCACCACTTATTCTTAAAGTTGAAGAACTTAACAAATCTTCCTTGGGGAAAATGGCCATGCATTTGAGGTTCCTCAAGTTTCCAAGTTGTGTCACTAGGCCCATGCACCTGCAAAATATTGTATGGTTTTTCTCCTTTCAGTCAGAAAGATTCTCTCCATGCAGAATTGTAGTTTCTCTAGTTCTCAGTTTTGCCAGAGCTTTGTGATGTTTTAAAATGATTTTTGTAATTTATCCCCCCCCCTTTTTTTTAATAATTTTTATGATGGAAGCAGGAACTTGACTTACAATATCCTATGAGGAAGTAGAAGTTCCTTGTTTTGTTTCTACATAGATCAATATGAAGTTGTGTTCTTTAAGAAAGATGGTATCTCAAGGAAGTTTTGGGAAAATAATCAGCTGAGATGGTAGAGGTATCCTTCCATCAGTTAAATATTCTCTCTTAAAAATAAATTCAGTAACAGCATTTTCATAAGTTGCTATTATATGCTGGATGTGTGCCAAGGAACATATATACTGATATTCAATATTCATAGAGTAAATGACACTATAATCAACACTGCATACACTAGTGGAGAAAATAGAGGAACTAAAATACATTCGTGGAGGAAACATACAGATTTCACTCAAATTCTATTTAGAAAAAGGAAGGGAAATGGAAGATAGTATAGAGACCCTGATCTTTAGCATGTGTCACATCCTGGACACCAACTGTTAAGTAAATGATAAGCACTGTAGAGTAATATTTAAGAGGGTGGACCCTGGAGTCGGCCTGCCTGATTCCACCATTTTCTGTGTGACTTTGGGCAAATAACTTAGCTTGTCTGTGCCTCAGTTTCCCCATCTGCAAAATGCTAACACTGCCTTATAGAGTTCTTAGGAGAATCGCATAAGTTGACATTCTAAGGTGCTTAGAGAAGTACCTGGCACATATTTAGCACTCTAAAGTGTTTATTAAATAAATCATTTTTGTGCACATCCTCCACCCTGTTTTCTTGGCTCACTTCCCTGACAGTAGAGGCAATCTGGCTTCCCAAAAGCCTTCCCAGCAGGAGAATGCCGCATTTCCAGGTTATTCTGGTGCAGTCCTGGACACTAGAAAAAAAATACCCTTTGATGTGGGGTATGCTGCTTTAGCAGCTCACTTTCAGTTGATGCCTGGAGGTGACTTCAGGGATTAGACAGTCACAGTCCTATTTTCCACACTTAGGGTTTTTTGTTTGTTTGTTTGTTTTCTGGCTGTCTATAAATTCAATTTTGGGAAACTTCTTTTGCTACAAACCAGTTCCAGAAACCCACTCTTGATATGGGTTTGACCTCCTGGCTTCTGTGTTTTAACGCCATATCTTGACGTTTTGCCCATTTTCTTGATTCTAGCCTATAAAATCTTCCCCGAGTAAACAGTAGCGTCAGGTGTCTGGGTGAAGGTGTTGGTTTTAGAATTATCCTGGAACACTGACCACCCATGCTTCTTTCAAGTGCCTGTTTTCACATAAGGGCCAACCACGTGTATCCTGCTTTGTTTTTTACTCTTTTGATGAAGAGGATGGAAGTGGCCCTGAAACAAAGTAGCTGGTACTTTCGAAGGTGGGACATCCCCCCAATATTCCCATTCTCATTTATTGTCCATGTCCAGAATCTCATTTTTTAAAAGCAACATTTTTAAATTGAAAGAAAAGTTGGTTTCTGCAGTGTCCATCTGGTATAGATTGCTGGGTGCTGGCAGAAGGGAGAGCCCATGGCAGTGTCACCTGCTTGTCCTGAAGTGCCCCAGCTGCCACCAGGAGACAAGCTCAGTCTCCAGGTAGCTCTCTTCCGGTGCCCTAAGAAAGTGAGAGGAAGTAGCTGCTACTTGGACACTTTGATGCTCTCCTGCAAAGGCCCCTCAAATTTCCATCTGTGCAGTCTCAAGTCTGAGAGAGCACACAGTTGCTCGTTTAGATCACTCGTTTGATTGTCTCCCACCACAGAGTTCATGCACTGACACACCAGTGTCGTTCTCATTGCAGGCATTCTCAAGCACAGCTACTCTGTCTCACTGAGACTGTTTGATATTTCAGTGGCTGTCCCTTACCACCCCTAACTCTTAGAAATAGCTTCTGTATTAGTGTGGTCCGCTGTTAACATTGACTCTAAATGGGCCCTGTTGAGTAGAGGTTCATCCCTGGGTTAATGTATGGTGGTCAGAGTAGGATCACATTACCTTAAAAGATATTGACTAGTAACTGTGTATAGGTGGAGGAGTGGATCCTAGAATGGGATGAAACTTGAGATATCCAAAAATGTCAGACAGAATTATGATTGTAATAAATTAAATGAAGAAAAAGTACACGATGTCATAAGAATGGATACAATAATAGAGGGCAAAGGGCAAGTAGACATTTGATTCTCTATTGTATCGCCTGGAGGTATATCACTTGTTAACCAGTGTACCTGTCCTAAATGTTCTGTTCTGCACATCATCCTAATTCAGCAGCCACAGATGGCCTGGAGGATGCCATTCGCTGAGTGCCTGGAGGCTGGGTGGGGAATACTTGATGGTTCTTTCGACTCCAGTCCAACCCTTTGGCATCCAGCTGTTGCCATTCTACTGCTCGTCATTCACAATATAGATTTGGTGCTACTCTTTTCATTTCCCTGTTTCCTCCCACAGGTAATCCATCAGCTGAAGCTCTCAGAGAATGAAAGTGTGGCCCTGCAGGAACTCCTGGACTGGAGGCGGAAGCTCTGCGAGGAAAGAGAAGACTGGCAGCAAATCCTGCAGCACTCAGAGCCCAGAGCGCCGCCCCCACCTCCTTGCAAAAAGCCGACTCTTCTGAAGAAGCCCGAAGGGGCCTCGTGCAGCAGGCTGCCTTCTGAGTTCTGGGACACTACCATTTGATGTGGTCCGAACTGCAGATTCACAGCATAAAACTGCCTACTGGCTCCAGGCTGCACAGACAGAAGGCTGCCTCCAATACATGCTGGGTGCTCTCTCCACGCATTTACACGGAAAAGCACAGGACACAGAAGTTAAAGACACAAGATTCTGTGTATGTGTGTGTGGGGGTGGGTGGGGGTGTGTGGGCGTGGGTGTTTTCTTACCCGTTCTGTGGGGATACACTCTGATTTTCAGGCTCCATGGTTATAGGGCCATGCTACCACTCTGTAGCAAGAGAAAGGCCGTGAAAGAGTGGATGAGGTGAGAGAGGGAAGAGTAGTGGAGGAGAGGAGGGACCCATGCACACTGTACCCTTGTTTTTGTATAGTCCGACCACGTGTTTATTCTACTCCGATTGTTTTATTATAATACACTCTACAGGACATATGTTTTATTTCTTTGTAGGCATTTGTGTCTTATTGGAATTACAAACCTGAAAATTATTTACATGTTTATTACTGTATTTTATAACTTTATGCAATTGGTGGTGCTCCCTTTCTTCAAAATACAGATTTTTAAAAAATCATTTCTAGATTTTTTTTTTCTTTTACATACCATTTTTAAACCGAAAGTACCTAAATATTACAGGACTGTGTTGTTGTTTTCGCTTCGCCAGTGTCAAGCCCTGCGCACGTATGGACCAAGTCCCATGCTTTCTTTCATCCATTGACTAGGAGGCAGTTCCTTTCTGTGCCCTGTATTTCTGGATATGTGGGTTGTGAGCTCTTTAGTTAAAACTCATCTGCTGACTTCAGCATAGGTTACAGGAAATTTTGCGTCACTCAACATGTATGGCTTCAAATTCATGGCTGGTGGTATGAAAGGGTCATATCCATTCAAAGGTCTTTACAGTACAAATAAGCACGCTGAGATTTACTGGTTTGAGCAGTAACGCTGCATCACACGACAATTGCCCTCTCAGAGCTCCACTGCATGGCTCACCTGCTGTATATCCTCAACCCTCCTGTAATGCAACTGCCTTGTTTATTGATGTGCTTCTGTTGGCTGCCGGGAAGTTCTGAGCAGTGGCATCAGACCATCCGTCATGTCTTGCTACTTGGAGCTTTTTATGCATACCAGCCTTTGAAAAGTGACTGTGCCAATAAAAGGGTACAACTATGTTCTTCTGTGGTTTTATGTATTTATTGTTGTTGTCTTCCATGAATGCTTCTGTTTCCTGATCAGAGAAGTAGGAGCAATTAGGTGATCTCATTCATCCAGCCTCCCTTCATGTGTTCTTCTCACAACGTTTTGCAAGCTTCAGGTTCTAGTAGCTTATTTTCAAATAAAGCTTTCATGGGAGTTTAGATATAATTATGTAGGCATATGTCAGTTTTAGGAATAATATGCTCATTATTTAAGAATCATAATAGGCCAACAGACCAGGAGATGGCTGCCGTTGAAGAGAGTTTGTCGTACTCCCAAATGCCACAACATGCCACGGCGAGGCCACAGAGAGGAGCGCCTGGGTTGGTCAGGAGCCAGAGGGAGTGAGGGAAATAGTGGGCTGAAGCTTTTTTCATGGTTCCACAGGAAGGAGTGGGTGTGGTGGGGTATGCAGGCATAGAATGCATGAATTTGAATAATTTCAACAGGCCCTGGGGTACAGAGGCCTGACCTGTTTTAATGGGTACCTGGCCCTGGGCAGGGTGATGGGGGCCTGGAGTAAGAGAGACCAATAAAGGGTGTGGTTGGGGTTTTTTATTATCTCTAGGATTTAGCTAGCCCTGGAAGAGGCAGTTCCTCCAGGATTAGCAAGGCCCAAATATCAAAGCATTAGAAAACAGAAAATAAAAGACATAGTTAATACACAGTTAATACATGACAAATTAGTAATGCCATCCAACAATTACAGGAAGGCATTCTGCCCAACCTCCAGCTGAACAACAACCAAGCCCCACACCCTGCCTGTCCCTCCCCTCTCTCCCTGATGTCTGACTTCCTAACCTCAGCCACTCAGCAGAAGAAGCCAACTTCCCTGAATATGCATGGCTCCCTTGGCCATGCCTTGCACATTATAGGCACTTAGTGACCTTGGGTGAATTCAACGCTTGAAGTGGACTTCCTGCCAACAACACACACACAGATTTCTTTAGACCGGAATGAACAGTGAACTGTTCAACATCGTACCTTGTGAGAACTTGTTTCAAATGAGCACTGAGCCCTTGCGGTGACTGTTCTGGGTGCTTTGCATATATTGTTTCTAACACGGACACATGACTCCATGGTAATTATTATCATCTGTGAATTATCATCCTGTAATTGAAGCGCAGAGCCTTAAGGAGGCTCTCAGGACATAAACCCACATCTTTATGGTTCCAGTGTCCATGACATTTTAACTTGATATACAGAAATGCTCTACTTACTATATCAAAATATATCTTTAAAAACTTTAAATTAAATGGCCTTTTTGGGATACATAATTGTGTGAAATTGAGATGGAAGACGACTAGAGGGAAAGCTTGCATGAAGTAAGCAGTGTCAAGAACACGTGAATCCAAAGAAAACCACTTTCTAGTCTATTAACATGGTCACAGATTAGGGCTTGTATAGTTGTAAGCTGAATCTGACGATCGCCTACTAAAGGTACCATCACTATCATGAAATAGTAAATATTTAACCTGTCTAATAATTTCTTAGCCACATCTAACACTTGTTGACCTTCTAAAGCTAGGGGCAGCCCCCTTGAAGATTTTCTAAAACACAAACTCCTAAGTCATTACTGACTTTTGTATTTAGTTGTTTGTTTCTCCACAGTGGAGAGAGATTTCAGGTATCTAGTAATCACTACTTTAGAACCATCTGATTATACCTGATCTACTTACAAGATAGAAAAATCAGCAGAAACTCAAAAGCTTTAATAGCCATGGTAGTAGTAACAGTATTAGTAGTCATAATAATATAAGCTAAAAATCCAAGTCTGAGTATATATTAAAGGTATTCTCAAAATGGGTCTCTAATGATTACAACATTGACAAGAAAATAAACAGAGGTACTATTCCGGATAATAAAGCACTGAATGTTATTCCTCATAAGCAAGATTTCAACAATTATGTATATTTGCAGTATATTTAATTATGGTATTTTAATTGCTATCAGTCCATAAGGTATGAATTATGATATCAGGATTAAGACCTTATGTTTAGCGATATAATTGGTATAAATTATTACCCTATGTTCAAACACTGCCCAATCTTATTGCTTTAAAAAAAATGCTTTATGAGGGGTCTCAAAAAACTATCAAAATGTTTATTGTGAGTTAAAATGATTTAAAATGTATTTTTAGAGTTGAAAAAATATGTCATTACTATTCTTAAATAGTGATATCTAATTTAGAAGAATTATGTTTACATAAATATACCCAATAAAAGCAACAACCAATTAAACTAGATTTGTAAATGAACTTCCCATATGAACAGTACACAACTTGGACAAAAAGTATATTATGAATTCCATAGTCTAAAGGGATGGATACATTTCTGTCAAAATTCTATAGCTGTCAATTTCTAGCCAGACATCAAACTCAACTCGTACCACAATAAAGGGCATGAGGTTATTATATAATAACATTCTAGAATGGGACACATTTCACACACTGACTTTTACTCTGCACTACAAATTTATTTTCTAACGTTTAAACATAGATCTCTAGTTAGAAGTCAGTAGGGTTTATTTTTATTTTATTTTTCATCAGGAAATTTTCAAGAAAAACATTATTAAATTAGCTAGAAAAAAAGACCCAACTGTGTGCCAAGTGAAAGTTTAATTTAATTTCATTACACTTTTCAAATTGTTTTTAGTTGCACATAAAAATCCATGTGATGAAGATGAAAGCAATTATATTTGTATTTTTTGTGCAATAGTAAATTGTCTACAATGTTCATCTGAGTATTTTCCAAAAACAGCACTGCTTTCAAAAAATTAAAGCTATGTTCCCCACCTCCATACTACTTCTTTTACATCTTATTCATAAACAATGACTTTATCCAATTCTGCTACAATGTTCTACCTATGTGAGTTATAAAGATACCCATATACCAAAGGGTTGTAGCATGCTGAGTTACACACTGGAAAAATTACCTTTGTAGCTTTTCACTTTACCTAAGTACTGCAGACCCCTGGGATGTTCCATTGTTACGGTTTCAGTAAGTTTCTCTAAAATCCTGGATGCTTTGTAAAACTTTAAAGATGACTTTTTCAAAGGGTAAGTCTTATTAGATGCCTGTAATAATACATCTCTATCACCTGTTCTAATTTCTCAGCTCACTTTTCACATTAAAAAAAAAACTATGCCTAAAATATCATTTTTGTATGCTTTGACATCAGCACGATATAATATGGATTTTATTTAGTTTATCTTATCATTACAATGGCAGAAGAAAATCTTGATGTCGTCTCGTAAGAAAATGTTAAAGGTGAATAAATCTATGCATTCATTTCAATTGTTGTTTTATAAGAAGAATGCATCAAATGTGTCTTTTCGCTCCTTTGAATTAGTCATCCACAGACATCCTGGCATGTCTGCTAGCTTGCCTTTTCCTATAGCCCCAGGGAACATGTGCTGCTTCAAAGGAAGACTGAGCTTACCCAGATGACATTTTCCTGATGTCACCACTTAGTTTCTAAAGTCTAAAGAAAATGAAAGAGAATGAAACTATTGATACATTCCAAGGGGGAGATCAAAGCTCTAAAAAAAGTGGAATAAAACCAAATTCAATTTGAGGTTTTGATCTTTTAAGATTTCAGCAAACAAAGAGGCTAGAGGTCCCACGATCTAAAACAATTGGTTGAAAAGTATATAAATTCTGTCACATTCTGAAAAGAGGTTTTCCTATTGAACCTATTTTGGGGAATCTATTAACTGAATTCACCCAAACTGTGACTTCCGTTGTTAGAAAGAGCAGGTCCACCTAGCAGAGTCCCTATTATTGTTCATCAACATTGTTGAATAAAATAATATTGCAAAAGTAGCTTTTTGGATACATTTTTATATAACTTTTTACAAAGTGATGTTGTAAATTGCTATGAATTTGGTGCAGGGTATTCGAAAAATCTAAAGGAAAGCTTAATTTACTGAAAGGAGTGATGGAAATATTTTCGAAAACAGTATTTGTACTGAGACATGAATGGACAGGTGTAGGATAAGGAGAAGAGTATACTGCAATTTAAAATATAGAAAGCCCCAGAAATGGAAGAGAAACTCAGATGTACTGTATTCTTCTAAATGACTCTGCCCTTCCCAGTGCTCGAAGTCCTCTGCACATACCTTCATTATAGCACCCATCAACTGGTACCATAATTTCTATCATTCCCAATACACTGTGAGGACGTAAGAGAGCTTAGTATTCCTCAGACTCTAGAATAGTCCCTGGCCCACAGAATACAACTACCTACAATTTACTAATAGATGAATTCAACCAAGCAGAATTGATAGGACCCGTGCATGTAAGGGCTCATTTAGAGGGAAAGACAGTGTGCCCCAGGTATCCTGATCTTCGGGCCACTCGGACTAGTCAAGTAGGAACATTGTCTGGTAGGCCATTCAGCCCTCTCAGCACCCCATGAAAATAATCTCTAACGGAAACCACAGGTGCACATTTCACCCCCTCCCTAAGGGGGCAGCACAAATAAATTCAGCAGAATATCTAATTGCCTCAGGGTAAAGGATGAAGGCGAAATCATGAGTCACAAAGTACTGGAGAAAAGGAAGTCAATAATGTCAGCAAGAGAAAAAAATTACGCCCAAAGAAACAGTCATTGGAGCAATCAGAACTATGTTGACACAAGTATGTAGTAGGTAATTTGGGGGAAAACTTTCCAACTTGGCATGTTCTATGGAGGTAGCTCTAGAGCTACTTTCTGATTCTGCAAGCGTCTTCCTGATTTTCTCAAATTCAGCATCAACCTACAGACTACTCTTTAGCCCCCCCAAAGATTCTGTAAGCTGTTTAATATCCTGTGAAAAATCTGGGAAACTAGCTTTCCTAAACCTTCTTCAGTATAGTAATTGGTACCAGAGGTAGTTGCAGACAGCAGACTCAGGGAAGCGAGAATCTGAAAGGTGTTACCTGACCTGGTTAGATTTAAGGGCAGCAACAATTCCACTAGCATTA